TTTTTTTTTTTTTGCCACAAGGTTTAATGTTATGATATATCCCATAGGTCCCCATGAAACAGCATAAAGACTGCAATTTCTCGTACGCAGGTCTCAAGACCCAAGTGAGGCTGGCTATAGAATCCAAAAACATGTAATATTTATTTGTCAGGCCTTTCCTAAAGTTTTTATGTCAATTGTTGAGTTACTTAAAGATTTCCCCTCCTTCACTATAAAAATATCTTGTAGATTGTTTTATAAATTTAAATTTGAATAACAAAATATTTCATTGTGGTTTGCAGTGATGCTTCAATTCCCATTGCCTCAGCGAATAGTGAAGACAGAAAAGCTCGGGCTGATATTGCTGCCTCTTTCCAGGTAATGTTTATTCTTGGGATAATTACCAAGATGTCTTTGAGGCTCCACTCAAATCATTAAAAAAAAAAAAAACATCCTTAAACATTACAACCACACCCTTAATATATATAAAAACACCCCCACTCCTAACAAAAATTTCAATGTGCAAGTTTATGTAGTAGAAACAAATATCGAAGGGTTTTCCCTTTCATGTAATTTGAATGATACCCAAGTTTTTTGTGATTAACCCTATGTTACATTGAACGTTTTTCGATTTTGGTTGCTTATTACTTGTGCATGATGTGAGTAAAGTCTCCCAAATGCCCTCCATATAATTTCCTTCGGAAGATAAACAAATATGATCTGTTATTTGTTTAGAGAATTGCGGTGTTGCATCTTGAGGACAAATGTGAACGAGCAATTGAATGGGCGTTGAATATGGAGCCTTCTATAAAGTATTTGGTCAGTGAAACTCATCATTAAAAAATAAATAAATAACTAAAATGTTCCCACTCTCCACCCATTATTCGGATATGGCTGTTTTTATCGTGCACAGGTTGTCTCTGGAGGTGTTGCCTCCAATCAGTATGTGAGGTATCGACTTAATCAGATAGTTGAAAAGAAAGGCCTTCGTCTCATTTGTCCTCCCCCAAGCCTTTGTACTGACAATGGTAAAGACTAAAGATGAAGTGTGATTGATGTTCAAGTATTATCTTTTCTAATTTGATAATAAAAATAATAAAAAAAAAAGAAGTTTTGGGTCCAATAGTTAATCTTATCACGAAGTCCCTTTCGAACATTTATTATTCATGCCTTTTTGTTTTCTCGACAGGTGTAATGATTGCTTGGACTGGAATCGAGCATTTTCGTGTGGGAAGATATGATCCACCGCCACCCGCATGCGAACCTGATGATGCCCAGGTTTGTGTTAGACCCCGATTTTACTTTTTCATTATTGTCGATAAACTACTCTCGAAAAACAACAAATTTTGCTGCTAAAACAGCTTGATCTTCGACCGAGATGGCCGTTGGGCCAGGTGTTCGCGCAAGGAAAGAGTGAGGCCCGTTCGTTGAAGACGGCACGTGTCCATCCATCGCTTACTTCTATAATTCAAGCGTCGGCTAAACAACAATCTTCATTATAGTATTCGTCAAAAGCTCGACTTTGATCTTCAGTTCAGTCTTGTGTGTATCAGTAACATTCATTAAAGGAGTACTAAGTGTAAAATGATGAGTTTTCATTAGTCAGGGTCATTTTACTTTCTTATTAAATGTATAATATACAAGTTTTCAATAATTTTTTACCTGAAGGATGAATGGTAATGGTGTAAAATGAGATAAATAGAGTAAATTATTATATCCATTGGAGGCCCCTTCAATTCCTTTATATTACAAACTACACTTGGCAGGGCCTTCATGGGCTCGAGTTTGAGCTTGAGCGGTCGAGCCTTTAACAAAATATGCCAAGTTCGGATCATTAACTAAACGAATCCATAAACGAGTTTGACCTTAGCTTATTTATCAATATTAACAAGGTGAATTTGAATTTTAACGAGGTAAATTAAGCTTGAGCAGCTGTTTATCGAGCTTGGGATAACTTCTATTGAGTCAAACACAACTCATTAACTAAACGAACCAAATAATGAGCCCAGGCTTGACTCGATTGCAAGTATTATTAATTGAATCGAGTTTTAACGAGTTCGAACTAAAAAAAAAAAAGCGCTCGGATTGCGAAAGAAAGAAAAAGCGCGGGAAACCGAAACCTCCAGATAGTCTGTCATAATCGCAAATCAACGCTCACACACATACACACAGTACGCGCTCGGATTGCGAAAATGGAGATATCGACACTGCCAATTTCTGCTTCGCACAGAGGAAAACTAATATCAGCAGGCTACACGTCTCTCTCGTCTCTAACTTCCATATCTCACTCCAAGCTAGCTCAAGGTATACGCTAATTTGTCTGAATTCTATCTTTATGTGTGGGTGATCCTCAATTTACTTTACTTTCTGTTTTCATTGATTTTCCTGTTCTTCTTCTGCGTAGATTTGAAGATTACAGAAAACGAGGCGGTGGAGATTCTGACAGTTTGTTCGGCAAGAAATGGGCTGAGCAAAACTGAGAATGGAAGTCACGCGATTGTGAATGGTAAAATTCGTTTTGTGTTCTTCGTATGTTGATCTGTAGTTACAGCGTAAAGAGTTATCTAGTTGAAGTTTATGCTTAAGTTCGAAGTATGGGATTGATCCAGAAAATGATTCTTGGTCATCAATTCAATAGTTTCTGAGGCCACTTGGATTTAGGGTTCTGAATTTTTATGTATTTTATTAAATCGATAATCGTGAGCTTGTATGGTCTTTGTATAACGAGATTCAAATCATTGTTGCCCAGTTTTTGTAGTCATTCTGGTGGGTTTTGAATTCGTCTCATTAGTTTCAATAATTTGTATTGTCTTTGTATTCTGTCTTAAATCTTAATGCTAGTTGAAGAATCACTTTCTTGAGCTGAAAATTTTATGAATCCATGAGTTTTAACAAATATGAGTTTGTTTAGGAGCACAAACAGCTTGGGATATCTTGCACGAGGAAGAATCTTCTGTATGCATCACCACTTCTTCCTCGGATTTGGATGAAATCCTTGGCGGAGGAATTCGTTGTAAAGAAGTCACTGAAATTGGTCAGTCGCTGTAATTTTCTTTTACCCGACTCTAAGTGTTGCATACGCTCATACTTGATCATTCTTACAATTGTTGGGTTTCTGATTTTACTAGGCGGAGTTCCGGGCATCGGTAAAACGCAGCTTGGGTGAGGATTGTTAATTATTATCCCGATATTCTGTTTTTGTCATTTGAATTGAAAATTTCATCAACTGTAATTTTAATTCTTTAATATGGATAAATGTGTAGGATTCAACTGGCAGTAAATGTTCAAATTCCAGCTGACTATGGTGGGATTGGGGGAAAGGCGATTTATATAGGTTTGTATCTGTTGGGATATGTTAAATATCAGGTTATTCTTTGTGTCTTAAATGCTACAAATTATCTCTTGAAGATTCAGTTTTTAGTATAGCATTGAATTATCTGATGATCAGACACAGAAGGGAGTTTCATGGTTGAGCGTGTTCGGCAAATATCTGAGGCTTGTGCCGAGGACATGCTGGAATACAATAGCTTACTGAGGAAGGATTCTCAAGCATTTCAAGTGGATAAACAGGCTGACTCTTTTATGGAAAATATATTCTACTTTCGCACGTGCACTTACACCGAGCAAATTGCCGTGGTAAATTACTTGGAAAAATTTATCAGTGATCATAAGGATGTGAGTATAGCAAATCATGTTGTTTTTCCAAACATGTGGCCTTCGGCATTATTTTTTTTCCACATAAAAACGTGTGTTACTGTTTTCTCAGGTCAAGATTGTCATTATTGATAGCATCACTTTCCACTTTCGTCAAGATTTCGAGGACATGGCTCTCAGGACTCGACTACTTTCAGGAATCGCACTAAAACTGATGAAACTAGCCAAGAAGTTTAATTTGGCAGTAAGGCCATTTAAATTCAACGCAAATTTTGAACACCAATTTTTAATTTATTTTTTTCAGTAACGTCTTTTTAAAAGAACGCAGAAGATCCTAAAATGACTAGGGGCATATAAGCTGTTTATTGAAAAAAAAAGGAATTAAATAAGCTATCTAAAACATCTTACGAACCCCGGAAGCTTCTTACAGGAAGTAAAATCTAGCATTCATGCAATCACTTTCCGCAGGTAGTTCTATTAAATCAAGTCACCACAAAGTACTACGAAGGTTCATTTCAGTTGACTCTTGCTCTCGGTAAATATCTGCAGTCAAGTCAGACTTCATCTTCAATATAATTCTTCCATTATTTATGTTGTATACATATGTATGTATGCATTCTTCTGACATGGAAAATGATATTCGACAGGTGATAGCTGGGCACATGCTTCTACAAATCGGGTCATTCTCTACTGGAATGGCAACGAGAGGCACGCATATATTGACAAATCACCCTCCATGAGAGCAGCTTCAGCTCCATATGCAGTGACTGGTAGAGGTATTCGAAATTCATCTTCAAACTGTAAGAGAGTTAAACTGATGTAGGCTTTCTTTTGGTGAACGAGCCATGAAAAGGTTAGTTCTTGCTTATGATGTAACCATGGAATGTGACTACGAATGCAAGAGGCATAATATAATGAGAAAAATGTAAAGTCACTGTTGTGCATGTTCACTGATGGTGATAAGCTTGTCTTGTGTTCTTTAGAAAAAGGAATTGATCTGTGATGGTCGATCTATGTTACAGTCGGGTTGTATAATGTTCTTGTTTTTATTTTTTCTTTTGTCAAAACAAATGGAATTCACTAATCTAGTAAAAATCAAAGTGGGAAACACATCAGTGTTGCAGATTAATTGGCCATCTTCCAAACACAATTTTTTGTATAGTGCAACCTAACTGTTAGTCGAGTCGGCCCGTTTAACCTTTATAACAAAAATCTATATGTTGTGAAATGTTGTACTTTTGTTTATGTTGTTTATTTAGCGTATAATATTTCAATTAGAAAGTATGCATATTCGATAACATTAGTCTTAAAGAAAAGGGATTTTATAAATTTCACCAAACTCCTGATTAATAATGATGAAGTTTGCACATGAAGGGTGTGTTTTATGATGAAATCAAAATATGGCGTGCTTTCAAAGTTTGGTTCAGCACCTACCTCGCTTTACCTAAGCAAAGATAAAGTTAAAAAAACAAACTCAACTTTCTCACCTACTCCTTTTTCTTAACTATTTTTACTATTTATGGAAATTTTCTACATAGTAGGCCTTGAATATGAAAACATGAATATCTCGCAATTGCCTTATCTTGACTTTTGAGACCATAATGTGATAAATGAAATAAAAATGGATATAAATAATTGTTTTTAAGAAGTTTTCATCACTTTTTATGGCTGTCCTCTTATGCTAATAACAATGTTTTTTTTACTAATTTTTACAAATTATTGTATGAGACTGCTCATATTATAGATCTATTATATTTTTATACAAAAATACATGGTTATATTATGAAGTGACATGGATATACTATATGGTAGAGCACTTTATCTAAAATCTGATGTTGGAATTAAGAGATAGATAATATTGTAGTTGGATATTGTGTGCAAAAATTCAATCCAAATTAATAATGCAATGAGATACATAATTAAAAGAACAAAATAAAATAAAATAAAATGTATTATTATATTTTGGCAACTTTACCCGCACCTCATAATTTCTTTTTATCTCCAAATCGCCCCAATCCATTTTTCGTCACACACGAAGTGAGGAAAAACAAGAAACTACAAGCGGTCACACAGAGCCATGGCTTCATCTTCTTCCCTCACCCTCTCTCAGGCCATCCTCTCTCGCACCTCAATCCCCCGCCATGGCTCCTTCGCCCAGAAGCTCCACCCCTCTTCCACCTCCCCCTCCATTTCCGTCCCCTCCTTCTCCGGCCTCAAATTTGCCGTCTCCCGCCGCCGCCTCGCCACAGCCGCAACCCGCCTCTCCGTACGGGCCTCCGCCGACGTAGAGACCCTCGAGAAAACAACGGACACCGAGCTCTTCGAGAAGTCCGTCAACACCATCCGGTTTCTGGCGATTGACGCCGTGGAGAAGGCGAATTCGGGCCACCCGGGCCTGCCCATGGGCTGCGCTCCGATGGGTCACGTACTGTATGATGAGGTCATGAGGTACAACCCTAAGAACCCTTATTGGTTCAATCGTGACCGGTTTGTGCTCTCCGCTGGTCATGGGTGTATGCTGCAGTACGCACTTCTTCACTTGGCCGGATACGACGCCGTCAAGGTCGAATCTTTTTAGCTTTTTTTAATTTACTGCCGCTTGAAGTTTTCTTGATTTTGACCGGAAATGGGTTTAATGGAAGATGGATCCAAAATGGGGTTCGATTGATTTGGTGATATGATTTTCAGCTATGGATGTGTGACCTGGGCTCATTTTGCCTCTATTATTTTCTTGTGACAAATGTTCAAAGCTTATTATTGTGTTTGACTGATATTCTTTGTTGATTTGGTTATCTGTATTGAGAGAACTTTTCCCTTTTTCTTCTTTTGAAGTATTTCAGTTGGATTCATCTTTTGGACTTATATATTCATTGTGTCTCTGGTTATGTAACATGAATATTCATATGTTTTGTAGCTGAACACTGTGTAATGTTACAGGAAGAAGACTTGAAGAGTTTTCGTCAATGGGGAAGCAAAACGCCTGGTCATCCCGAGAACTTTGAGACGCCTGGTGTTGAAGTCACCACTGGTCAGAACTCAATCATTTTTCGGAATCATTTTTCTCTTTTCTTATCGAATTGATTTGAAATATATATGAACCTGAATTTACTGCTCGAATTTACCTTTTGTGTAGGCCCACTTGGGCAAGGTATTGCCAATGCTGTTGGCTTAGCGCTTGCAGAGAGTAACTTGGCTGCACGATACAACAAACCGGATATCGAGATAGTTGACCATTACACGTAAAGATCTATTATTTGCTCGTTTCTTGATTGCTTGATCAAGAATTATTATTAATTCTCGATATATATAATTATACATTTATTTCGGTTCTTACACAGATATGTCATCCTCGGTGACGGTTGTCAAATGGAGGGTATCTCAAACGAAGCTTGCTCTCTCGCTGGACACTGGGGACTTGGAAAGTTGATTGCTTTTTATGACGATAATCACATATCCATTGATGGTGACACAGAGATTGCTTTTACGGAGACTGTTGAGTCCCGTTTCGAAGCTCTTGGCTGGCATGTGATTTGGGTGAAGAATGGAAATACCGGTTATGATGAAATTCGGGCTGCCATTAAAGAAGCAAAGGCTGTCAAAGACAAGCCAACTTTGATCAAGGTCATTAATTGATTAATTATTTTGCTTAAGTTTTATTATAATTTATTATTTGCTGATTTGTAATTGTTTTTTTATTTTTTTTTCTATGAGCAGGTTACTACAACAATCGGCTTTGGTTCACCGAACAAGGCCAACTCATACAGTGTTCATGGAAGTGCATTGGGTGCCAAGGAAGTAGATGCCACTCGACAAAACCTTGGATGGCCATACGAGCCTTTCCATGTGCCTGAGGATGTGAAGAAGTAAGGATGGTCCCACTTTCTTGAATTAAAATATTATACTTCCTTTAGTTGCATCTTGAGTGATTTTTTTTTTTTTAAATTTTAATGCTCTTATGCGGCAGCCATTGGAGCCGACATGTTGCTGAGGGAGCTGCTTTCGAAGGCGAATGGAATGCCAAATTTGCCGATTATGAAAAGAAGTACCCAGAAGAAGCAGCTGAGTTGAAATCTATCATCACTGGTGAATTCCCTGCTGGTTGGGAGAAGGCCCTTCCTGTGAGTAGCTCTTTCGTTCCTAATTTGTTATTTTACTTATTTTGTTTTCTGAGTGTTGAATACATTCTGTATTCATGAAGAAAAAAAAAATAAAAAACAGTTTTCGGAATATGTGAATGTCATTCTTTTCTATGCACTCATTTTAACAGAATCAGTGGCGTTGAGCT